ATGTATATATACATACACACATATACATATACACACACATATATTTTTTTACAGGAAAATGGAAATTGTTCTATTTTTTGGAACTAAGCTGGAAAAAATATGATCAACCTTAAACCTTAAATTATAAATCATGAGGTAAAGTTCTGTTTTTTTAAATTTATTGGTGCATTTTAACTGTATTTATATATTTATTGGTTCATTTATATATTTCTACTTTTATTTTTAATTATGTCAGTTTAGTTCCTCCATAATTTGATCTTTCAGTTTGTAGAAATTACCTGAAAGTCTCATTAGAACTACATTAAAAGAGACGCAGAGTCTGGCAGACATGTTTTATTAAAGATTAGAAACAAAAAAAAGATCACTTTCAGCTATGGCCAATCAGAYCAGGACTTGCTCCTCTGATTACAGCAAAAAGAGAGTGGCTACGTTTGTTTCCCTCCACAGAGATGCTGTAAACCTGCAGGAAACCACTCATTTCTACAGAACATCAAAAACAAAGCTGAACAATGAAAAGAAGCCTGCTCTGTCCTCGTTCAGTTAAGAGAAAACCTGCAGAAACAACTGATTCTGTCACCCAAAACAAAATGAGAGTGGACCAAAAAACAAAAAAAAAACAAAGTAAACATAATAAAATACTTCAACGCTTCCTGGAGGCTACAATACTCACAATTCCTGTKATCGTGTGACTAAAGCAAAAAAAACTAAAGAGAATTAAAGTGAACCAAAAGCCTGTCTGAAGCCTGGGCCAGCCCAGGTCAACGCAGGCCAAAACAAAAACAATTAAATACATAAGTTAGTAATTAATACACACGGCATCTACAAACGCCTCCTGTTCTAACGCCGACGCACCGAGGCGACGGCTGTCCTGGTTTCGCTCACACACCGGCAGCACGGCGCTCAGGACAACTCAATACTTGTTGATGCCCAGGATCCTCACGCCGTGCAGCTGCGGCAGCTTGGGGATCAGGACGCTCAGGAGCGAGGCCGTGTTGATCACGAAGTGGGTCGTGTCGTATTTCGTGTAGAAACTGGCGAGGAAGTATCTGCAGAGGAAGGAAAAGCACCTTAATACTAAAAAAAAACAAACCCGAGTCAGACGAGCTGCGTCGGCGAGAACCTCCCAGAAACTTACAGGATGATGGGGGAAATGGTGAAGAACTTCCTGGAYGAGGTGAACTGCACGCCGTAGTCCAGCTGCTCCCAGTGAGTAAGGAGGCGAGCCTTTCCCTGATCCGGGGTCTCAAACGGCGTGCCTTTCACCGCGTGCATGAAGACGTACATGCCCTACAAAACAAATCAACAATAACTGCATAAACAAGCTAAGAAATTAGGCATTTCAGTTAGAGTCTAAGCTGATCTTTGATCTGTTTTATTTTGAAAGGGTTTTCAGAAAGGCTGAATGGCCTGAGAGCCAACAGCGATCAACACAAGCTGAAAGAATCTCAAACATCCCTCAGTCGGCTGCAAGGATCCTCAAACTCTTACAGAAACAGGAAAACACTAAAACACAAATTCTCAAACCACGAGCTCGCCTCGCGGCGGTTTGAGGCACCAGTTTTTGAACAGATTAAGTTTTTTTTAAAACCTGTAGGGTTTAAATTTTAGGTCCTGAATGTGTCCAGATGTTCCTTTTTACGTAGCAAAACACAAAAATTTGCATCTTAAGTTTGTATTTTAGTGTTTTTACCTTTTATTCAACCAACACTGAGAATTTAATGTTTTTTACAGTGTAATAATAACTACAACTCCCACAATGCAGCAGTTCTGCCTGAAGAAACGAAACAAATTGACTTTCAGCGTCGCAGAAGAATCTGGTCGCTCCTTTCCTGAAACCGGTTCYTTGTAGTTTTTTAAATATTTCAATCAAATTTTAAAAAAAGGATGAGAAGCGCTTACTTTGAACCAGGTTTTACAACAACGTTATTTATTACAGTCGTAAATTTGAATCAGAACGGGCTTGAAAAGCTGTTTTATTTGACCGACGGTTGGTGCTCCCCGAGTTTAAGTTTCAGCCTCAAACTTGGAGAGTCCTGCTGCATCACACTTCCTGGTTTTACTGTCTGAATAAAGCAGAGTTAGTTGGTGGACACTGAAACCGATTAATTTTTATATCAAGTGGTTTTAAAAGGTTATAAACAAATTAAAGTTATAGAATACTTTTAAACATAGTTGCTATCTGGTTCAAATGTCTACAGATGAAGCTCCAGAGTCTGTTTGTTTATTTATTTGCTGACAAATGTCGGATTATCGATGCTAAACGAGCGGCGGTGGACCAGCAGGAGCTGCTTAAAACCAGAACCAGAACGCTCCGAGTCTCGTCGCTCGTTCGCAAAGTGACTCTCACCAAGTTGTGGATGACGTTGGTCAGCGTCCACACCACGGGGACGCTGAAGAAGGGTATGCTGAGGAGCACGATGTGAAGAACGCCGACGCCGAGGGCATAGGTCAGCCAGATCCCCCGACTGTTCATCACCCGGGTGTTTGGGTTCACCTCACTGTGTGCCACACCCACGTTCATCCTGGTCTGCGGGCAGAAAAAACAAACAGGAAGAGATCCAACATGTTCAATTAGACATATTGGGCAGCTGGGTTGGTTTTTTTTTTTTTTTTGCAAGGGTTTAATAAATAAACCACCAAGCTGCTACAGCAGCACTTCGCCCTTTTTCTCTCAGCGCACAGCGTGATAACAAAAAAAACAACTTATGCAATATTGTTGGACTTTGGTCCTCTGGTTCACTCAATCTGGATTAAAAGAAAGATAAAATAATGAAGTTGCAGTAAATAAAAACTAAACATTTTAAACATTTATCTCTATGTAATAATACATAAATTCATCTAAATGCACCTGCAAGCTCATTGTAAACAATAAAACAACTTGTAAACAAATAACTCAGGCTGTAATGGTTCCGTCTAATTGCTGAATTATTTTGTGATATCTAACGAGACTAACGTTAAATTAATTAGCTAAACTATTATTTTAAGTCTATCTTGTTGCTTAGCTCATAAAGCTCAGGTTAAGTCGTGACATTTGTCCTGCAACTTCTCTTTCGTAACTAAAACGCGTCCTGTTTTCTTTTGTTTTCACTACATAGCCGGGGCCCATCCCCCAGTATTCCTTGGATAACTTAGTTACCGTAATAAATAACAAATGTGAAGTCACAGTAAAGATTAAAAACCATGACAAACACCACGCTGTGAACTTACACGAAGCGGATAACAGTGGCAGGTTTTTATAGAAACAACTATGGCGAGAATCGGTTCGTCCTCTTCTTGTTGATGTGCGCAGTGACTCTGGCGGAAGTAGACAGCGGATGAAAACGGCTGCACCCCGCCCCCCCTTTAAAATAGCCCCGCCTCCTGTCCACGCACAAACACGATTAATATGTTTAAATGTACATTGGAATTGTTTGTTGTCGTGACTTAAATGCGTCCGTTTTTGCGCGAAAACGAAGGTCTATTTGAACAAAACCCAACCGAATGCTAACCGAGAGCTTTATTTTCGCAGCAGGATTTTCCCCGGAAGTACTATCTCTATATCTCCGCCCCCTAATATTTCTGACCAATCAGCGTGTAGCTTGGGGGCGGGAAAAATATCGTTTCCGGATGCGGCGGCAAAGGTTGTAAACAGTTACAGGAGCGCTTTAAGCTAGTAAGTAAATAAATTTATTAGTTATTTAAAGACTTAATATGTATTTATGATTATTTACATAAGTTTGAATAGTTATTAAACATTAATTGTTAACCAATAAGAACAAATAACCCCAAAAAGACGAAACACTAGCTGAAGATAAGTTGTTTTTAGGACATGACTGTTCTCTAATAAATATGGTTTTGGCTGAATTATAGTCTTGGACTAAAATGCAAAAGTTATCTCTCATTTATTTACCTAAATTCCAAGCAATAAGCATTTTGTCCAATAAACTCCAGACACCATCTAAGGTACCAAATCCAAGCAAATGAGTGTTTCCGCAGGTATCAGGAGTCATGAAGCAGCTGCCAGCAGACACCGTGAGGCTCCTGTCCAGCTCCCAGGTCATCACTTCTGTTGTGAATGTGGTGAAAGAACTGATGGAGAACTCCCTGGACGCTGGCGCTTCAAGCATCGACGTAAAGCTGGTACGATACTTACAGACAGAAAAAGTAAACCTCCCGTTGCATCGTCTCAACTCCACGTCTTGAATTTTGCCCGCTGAAGGAGAACTTCGGCCTGGACCGGGTGGAGGTACGGGACAACGGTGACGGGATCAGAGCCGAGGACGCTCCCGTGATGGCCGTCAGACATTTCACCTCGAAGATCTGCAGCCACGACGATCTGGAGCGTCTGGAAACGTACGGCTTCAGGGGGGAGGCGCTCGGATCCATCTGCGCCGTCGCCGAGGTGGGAAATATTTAGTTGTTGGTAAAGCCGACCGCGACAGGTGCTTCTGTTTTGCTAAACTTCATGCTAATGTTGTTTCCCTCCAGGTGGCTGTCACCACAAAAACAGAAGAGGACGACATCAGCACCCAGTACACGTTGGACCTCACAGGAGCTGTAGTGTCCCAGAAGCCGTCCCACGTAGGTCGAGGCAAGTCTCTGATTATTTAGACTCCAGTACTGAGCGACTGCTTTTATTAACACAATACAAAGAACTGGTACACATGCTGGTTTCATGTCTCTGGGTTGTCCAGGCACGACGGTGAGCGTGACGAAGCTGTTTAAGAACCTTCCGGTCAGACGACAGTACTACTCTTCCACAAAGAGGTGCAAGGAGGAGCTGAGGAAGGTGCAGGACCTGCTGATGACCTACGCCGTCCTAAAACCTGAGCTCAGACTGATGCTGGTCCACAACAAGGTCAGGAGGTTTACTACAGYCTCCACGAACTTTGTTTTTAATCAGTTCAAAGATTTTCTCTTTTCTTCTTTGACCCTCAGAGAGTCAGACCTTTAATGGGTTTTTACGTTGGACCAAATTAATTTGTTTAAACTGTCACAATTCCAACTTTTTAAATGTGCTTTTGGTCTGAATCAACTTCTAAATGATGTTTATTATGTTCATTAAATATCTCAGGTTCAGACTGAATCAATATTTGTGAATTTACCGGTTTTTTTGCTTTCACAAATTTTTACTGTTTCGATCTCGTTTCATGATAAAATCCTGTTTTTTTATGAGTTGTGTGACCACTAGGTGTCCTCGTTTCATTTCACATGGCTGAAAATCGACCTGTTTGAGTCGAAATGTTGTGAATTTACAGCAGCCAAGTGTAGAAACTGTGGAGTCATTCCACAACAAAGTGTGTTTTTATCATTCAGACATGAGATTAAGTTTCCTGATTAATCCTAAATAAATGAGTCGGTTTAATATTTGAACAAACTTTATTGTGATGAATCCTTTCTATTCAATATATTAAGTCCAGTCTGGAGCTTCTCTTATTAAAGTATTTGTAGAAATGTTCTGTAAAATTAACAGAAATCTTATTTTATCACAAAAACTGATGGTTTGAAAAATAAAAAAGCTGAAATTCGTCATTTTTTCAGCTTTTCTGGCTGAACTGAAAGGTTTCTGTGACTGAGTTTAGCCATCGAACTGATCCAGACGGTCGACTAGATTATCTTATTTTGAAAATCCTTAATCAAATCCTTTGATGAAACAGATTCCTGCTGTTTTCCACCTCATGTGAGTCGCTGAGCCGTGAGTCTGTTTTTTATGCTGACTCAGCTTAAAAACAGACAGGAAGTTGACCTGAATGGTTTGTGTACCTGTCACAGTTTGTGCATTCGGCTGTCAGCGGGTCGTATCCTTTACCTCCTGCTCGGCTCTTTGCCTCGTGTCGCCTTTCACAGCCTCTTCAGGAACTGTTTACACGACCCACTCGTCTCTGCCAGATCGCACATTTATTATCAGACAGGTGCTCCGAGAGCGAGTTCCTGACGAGGCCTGAGCTCCAAACTGTGCAGCGACTCAAGCAGAAGAGCTTTGTTTACGTTGAGCGAGGACCCGCGTTATGAAATAAATTCAGAGCTGAAGCTGACGATGTCTTGAGCTAAACTTGTGGTCTTTGATTATGAGACGTCTCTGGGGTCGTCCTGTTTGAACTCCGGGTGACGTCGAGGAGTTTCCTTCTTTCAGGTGGTGGTTTGGCAGAAAGCCAAGATGGCCGACGCCCGGAGCGCCCTCCTCGCCGTGCTGGGGTCCGGCCCCGTTGCTCACCTGCTCCCCTGTCACCAACGCCAGGAGCAACCAGAGGTGACTTAAAGGATTAATTTTTTTAAAAGCACTGTTTTTGAGTAGTCAGTGTTTAACCTGCAGCAGACAGAGTGGAGAATCAGGCAAAATTACAGAGCTAGCATCCACAAACAGTTTCTACTTTGCACGATAGAGCTTTAACCATCGTTTGTGGTTTAAACTCTCATATTATGACCTGGAGATGATCATTATGAAATTGTTCCTCCGTTTTTAAGTTTTACCAGAACTCTGCCCGTCTTTTCAGCATTTTATACGGTGTTCCCGTGGATCTTTAAAAAGTCTTCCTTGAATTCATCAATCCAAAAACAAGGTTTTAATTAGCTTTAAAAGATCCTAAATCAATCTTCAGAAGTCTTTAAAATCTTACATTGTAAGTAGAATGACTGTAATCCGTATCAAATATTAAAATAATTGGTAACATTTATTTATTTTTTAAATATTCACATTTAGACATTCATCACTTCCTGTTTCACATTCAAATATCACAACAACTGTCCATCTCAGCAATGTGAAATTTGTTTTGTAATATCCTAATAATGTAGTCTTTAACGTTTGACATCACAGGCACTTTAAGGTTTCATCTACAGCAAGCTGGGGTTGAAAAATCACTCAGGGTCGTAAAACTCCAGAGTTTGGGTCGTTAGAGGATTTTCAGGAATTAAATTGAGTTTAAAACTGACTGGTAAGGATGTGTTTTTAGCTATATTTGAGAAAAAATCAGTTAGATATGGATAAAACAAATAGTCTTTTAGCAATATTTGAATAATTCAACCACAAATACTTTGATTCATGAGTTTCTGCCACAGTTTTAGTTTTTTATTTGTGTTTTATTGTGAAATTGGTCTTAAATTTGATTTCACTTGGCATTAAAAAGTCTTAAATTTAACGTGCAGGAACCCTGTTACACCCTGTCCTCTTTCCAACCTGTTAACTGTTAATTTAATTAGTTAAAAATGTTCCTCTTTACATTAATTAGCTTTTAAAGCTTTTGTTGCTGCCGTTTTGCTGCCATCAAGTTAAAAACGACCTTTTTATTTCTTTTTTAAAGGTTCTTACGTTACATTCTGAACATGAAATGTTTCATATTTAAATTCTGTTTTTATTTACAACCTTTTTTCAGAATGAGGTTGTGTAAATGTGGTTTAAAACTTTAAAAAGAGAGGTATAAAGTGCTGAGTCGACACAAACCTGGGCCACGTCACTGAAAGTTCGTTAAGACGCTACAGAAGGTCGTTAACGTCGGTTCCTTATTAGCTGCGTCGTTAATAACCGACCCACAGTTTCGGGTCGGATCACACGTGCTTTCTGCCCCGGTTCTGCTCATTAGGGTCACTTTATGAGGGTTCTAGCGGCACATCTGGCCCCCAGAGGTCCTCGTCTGGAACCAGCTTCTCCCCTCGATCGGCAGCTTTGCTCCCGGCGAGGCGGAGGAGAAGAATTCTCTTTCATTACTACGGGGAGTAAAACAGGTCAGAGGGCGTTCTCATCAGTGGGCACGGAGCAGCAGAACAACAACAACAAAGAGGAAACAGGTTGCTCCACATCTGTCAGGTGGGATTATGTGGGAGTGGGCGCGCAGGCGGGAGCCCACCGTGACCACGCAGAAAGTCGCAGCTCGGCGGTAATTCGATTATCCCCGGCACGGCGAAGCTCCGCTAACAGAAATCAGCCTTCATCAGGAAGGAACTCGGGGAGAAAAGGGCACAGGAGTATTTGGCCCCGCCACCAGCTGACCACACTCGCTGGCCCGAGCCCAGGCGCCGCCCCGTGGCGAGGCGGTTTGGCTCGCGGTCAAACGCTAACGTGCAAGCTCAGATTTACTCTGCAGAAATGATCCCTGAACCTCGTGCTCTTCAGATCGGCTCTCTGTTTACGTTTAAAAACCGTCCAAACTTGCAGATTTTCATCATTTAAATGACCTCAGGTGACCCCTGACCCACCAGAACCCCTTCCCGACCCGTGTAAAAGTCTTAATCCAGCCCCCACTTCTGTCCAGTCGGCCTTTAAAGGGGACATTTCTGCAAAATCCACTTTTTCCAGGCTTCCTGCAGATCCTTAAAACGTCTTAAAAATCATTGAATTCTTCAATCCAAAAATAAGGCCTTAATTAGCCTGAAAATGTCTTAAATTAATCTTTCAAAGTCTTAAAAATGGTAACACATTGTTAATGGGATGATTGTAATTCATCTCAAATATTAAAATAATTGGTAAAAAATTGTTTTTAAATACTCACGTTTAGACATTCCCCTTTGACATCACTTCCTGTTAATTCACATGCAAATATCTCAACAACCGTTCATCTAAGTAAAGTGAAATTTGCTTTGTAATATGTTAATAATAAATAAGTAAAAAACTGAGTCAAATCAAGTATTTCAAGAATCTTACTAAGTAAAATGTTCTTACTCCACTGGCAGAATTATTTTCACTTAATTTGAGTCAAATTTTCAGACTAACAAGACAAATAATCTTACACATTCTGAAAACAAGATGATTATTCTTACACAATCAGTTCTTGTTTAGTAAATCAGTCTGAAAACAAGATCAAAAAGACTTTTTGGCTGATATAAGATTTTAAAACTTGGTAAAAATGGACAGTTTTTTGCAGTGCAGGACCAAAACGAGCTGCTTTGAGACACAGCAGRAAATTCCTTAAAAAGATTTTCAACATTTTTATGTTTTTTTTAAGTGTGTCAAACTAAATGTAATAACTGGAGAAAGTTGTCTGACACCCTAGTTTTCAAAATAAAAGCCCCTGTTAATGTCTGGAAACGTTTAAAGGAAGAAACTGCACTCGTTTTGCCCACTGGTGGAACAAAGACTGTGAGGAGTTCAGACTTTATAGTTCCACTTTAGAAAGACCCTAAAGAAGGATTTCAGTGTGAAAAAGAAATATTTAAAAGCATCATATGTTTACTTTAAACATCAGTTCTTCAGAAGGTTTCAGTTTTATGTTATTTTATTTTATTTTTTTTACTCAGATTATCTTGGACGGCTTCTTTCCGAAGCCCGGAGCCGATTTCTCCTCTACGAGCTCCTCCACTCCTGAGAAGACCTTCGTATTCATCAACGAGCGACCCGTCCAGCAGAAGGAGATCATGAAGGTGAATCAGTTCTGATGTTCTGCTCTGGGACCCTCCTGCCTCTAACGTCGTTGTCTGTTCTCCTGTGGGGGCAGCTGCTGCGTCAGCATTACTCGGCTCAGTACTCAGACGACTCAGCTCGACATCGATATCCCACCGCCCTGCTCAGAATCACCGTTCCTCCTTCCTCCGTGGACGTTAACGTGACTCCGGACAAAACGCAGGTTCTTCTCCACAACAAGGTGCCTGAGGAACCTCACCTGCTTCAGGTTCGTGTTATCGATTTGATTTAACCCCTGACCTCTGTGTGACCTTTAGGWGGCCGTGTTGACGGCGGTGGAGGCTCTGCTGGTTTCTCTTTACGGCTTCAGGTCCGGGTCGGACCCTCKGGCTGAGGAGCCCCGTCTAGAGGCCGACAACAAAGACGGGAGCGATGAGACGTCTCACTCCACAGGAAGCGCCGACGTTTCTCTGGAGGCCTCAAACTGCAGCTCCTCGTCCTCCGCAGCCGACGACTGGATCATCAGCCGGAGTCCTGCGGCGCTCCCGCCTGACGGTCCTCCTCCACCGAGCGAAACGTCAACGAGTCCCGAAGCCTCAGAAACCAGCAGGAAGCCAAGGTTATAATAGTTCTGGATTTTTCATTATAGTTTAGTTTTATTTTGTTGTGACGTTTTTCCTTTAATTCAGTTTTAATTAGTTTTTACAGTGGATTTGCTGGTTTTAATTAGTTATTATTGCATTTTTAATTCTTAGTTTTAGTTTAGTTTTTATTAGTTCTAGTGTTAGTTTCTTTATAGTTTGAATAAACATATTTACCAAACAGGGTTCATGCCGGGTCTTAAAATGTCTAAAAACGCCTACAATGCAAAAACTGTCCATTTTTACCAAGTTTTAAAACCTTATATCAGCCAAAAAGTCTTTTTGATTATTGATTATTTGTCTTGTTAGTCTGAAAATTTGACTCAAATTAAGTCAAACATTTCTGCCAGTGGAGTAAGAACATTTTACTTGGTAAGATTCTTGATTTGACTCAAATTTTTCTTATTTCAAGAATCTTACAAAGTAAAATGTTCTTACTCCACTGGCAGAAATGTTTGACTTAATTTGAGTCAAATTTTCAGACTAACAAGACAAATAATCTTACACATTCTGAAAACAAGATGATTATTCTTACACAATCAGTTCTTGTTTAGTAAATCAGTCTCAAAACTAGGGGTGTAAGAAAATATCGATACACTGAAATATCACGATATTTCATTTCCCGATAC